TTGCTTCTTGCTTCACATTATTCAAATTATTAAGTAAACATAACATCAAGGGCAAAAGCAATGTTTCTGTGATAGAACTGGATCACATCTCAAAGACATTCAAATACTGTCTACGGTGGGTAAAGGTCTGAAAATTTCTGATGGAGAGACTCAGTGCAATGGGGTTTTGCGAATACCTTTCCAGCAAGAACTGACTTGATATCACCAGCACATTGACCACCAAATGATACTAGATGTTTTCAACTCACTAATCCTAACTCTACGTAGAGATAAAAGGCTATGTCCATAGTGGTACGAATTGTCATTCTAGGCCAGACAAAAAGTCCCTCTGGCCTGGGATCAATGACAAGTAGCAGATGCTATGGATGAAGAATATTAGAAACAGATGTACATCGACTGATCTATAACCTTGCATATGCTCCAAGGCACCAACAGTAGGTTGCATCCTTAATTGTTATATTGAATAGCCTCTGATGGACCTATCCCCTGTAAATCTATAACCCTTTTCAAGTTGGTCATAATACTGGCCTCCACAATACCCTATGGGAAATGGGTTCCACACACTAATTGTGCAATATATAAAAGTTACGTTCTTTTGCTTGTATTGTTGTCTGTTAATTTCCCGGAGTGGTCCATAATCCTTATGTTACCAAACACAGTACATAACAGTGCCTTATTAACTTTTCCCAAACCATCCCTGGATTTTACACAACTCTATCATAACCTTCTTCTGCTGTCTCTTTTCCATGCTAAAGAGAACTAATCCTTTCAGCTCCTTCTTACACAAGCCACTCCTTACTTGTGGTCCCTTGACCTTCTCATACACTTTGAGAGGTGGGGACCGGAATTGCACAAGTATTCAAGAGATGGGAACATCATGGTTTATGGTATAATGGTATTCCTGCTTTGTTTACAGTTCCTTCCCTAATGATTCCCAACATTTTATTTGCTGTTAGACCATTACTAGACACTGAACAGAATTCTCCACAATGATCTGAAGAGCTTTTTGCCCAAGTAGTAACACCTAATTCAGAATCTATCACTGAGTATACACAGTCAGGGTAATTGTTTCTTTGTACTTATCAGTGTTAAATTTCACCTGACACCTTGATGCCCACTCAGTTTGGTGAGATCTTTCTGTAATTCCTTACTATGAGCTTTGGATTTGGTTACCTAGAATTATTTCTTACTTTCTGTAAACTTTTCTACTTCAATGTTTATTTCCTTGATAGAATTCACTTCTGCCTTCTGATCTAACAGCCTTGAAATTAAAAGCTGAGATGCTGGTTGACACTACCAGGAATACACATTAGGGCTATGCAAAGCTTCGGGCGTTGATTCGATTCGGAAGAGATTCAGCCTGATTTGGTGGTCGAATCTCCGAATCCAAATTGAACCAGGAGACCAATAAAAATGTCCAAATTGATTTGAAGCTCTCCAAATTGATTCAGAAAAGATTCGGAGATCTTCGGAGATTCGGGCAGTCCCCACTTGCCGTCGCGTGGAGCTGGACCCAGGCTCCATGCCGGTAAGTAGGGGCGGGGCGGGGGAGGGGGGGGGCTGG